CAGTGGGGAAATTGCACTATTGCAACACCTCAAGTACAGCAGGATAGTAGCAGTAGCACACAAGATATCAAGAGTATGTAGCAATTGTAAATTAAGATATTTATTGGACATAATAACAAGATTAGTAGTAGTATTGCAAATCATGTCTTGAAAGACGATGATATTTGTAGTGGAATGATAGAGATGTATGGGTTCCATTAGCAGTGGCTGTTATAGAGCCTAACAGTGGCAGGGAGGAAAGAGCTGTGGTATCTCTCCATACAGCCAGGGTGGATCAGTCTGTTGCTGTTACTCACCTTATGTGAAACTATGGGCACCACAAAAGCTCGAAAACACTGGAGGTAGTTTCCAAAACACGCACAATATCCGAGCATTTGCGCTAAACTGTGGTACGAGCAAAGCAAGCTAGGAAGGAGCTTGTAATAAGTACAGGCCTATTATCTTGCCGTTTGAGAGGTGCCGAAACATATACAGATGGGTACACTCATACCAACATACTACAGGTACGCAAAGCATATTGGCAAGGAAAATCTTACCTGCCCATTATTTTGTCATGCCTGCACACCAATTATGTGCATCCCTGTATATTCAGGGTTTTTCCTGCATTCAAATTTGCGTGGCGGCCGCCTTCAGCTAATTTTGTGCCGCCCCAGCCTGATTTCACTCGGCCTCCAGCTATATGGATGTTATTTTAACTGCTGTTGCGCCACTACAGGGGTGCTGTATCAGCAGCGGTGCACCGAAAAGCTCTAAAACCACTGCAGACAAAGATCAAAAATAGCTTTTCTCACTAGTTATATATCTATGGTTGGTGCTATTGACGTCCTGATTTTCCCCCAGGCTCTTCCATATTAGAGCAGGACTGTACAGTGCGACGAAAAAAACTGTCTGTGCATGTCTGTTTTTAAACGTAGCACTAGTGCAACATCTTTGAATTACTATTTTCCCCAGAACTTTATTGAACAAAAGTAAGTTACGTGTAAGAAACATGCTTTTAACTGGCACACAGTGTGGTCATCCGGATGCAGTGGAGGAAAATAAAGGAACCAGCAAAGGCACAAAGGCTGAACCGGTCCAAAGTTTGGAAACAAAAGTGGAGCTACACGCAGATTGGCTAATGCTAACGGGTAGCAGTCTCACGATCAAGTGGCGCACAGAAAAATATATGATGATGGTAAAAGTAAGAAAGACTAAACTACAAGCGGATGAAAAGTCCCCACCATCCTGTTTATTCTGCATCCTGCAGCGCTACGGATCAGAACTGCTGCAGATACGAGTCGGAAGTAAGGCAAGCCGTTGTAGTATATAAATCAAGAACGCTTCTATCTTTGAACATAATTTAAACTGGGTTATTGCCAACCCGTACATAATAGACATGCCACTAGGGCTGGGCGATATGGCCTCAAATCTATTTTACGATATAATCTGAAGCATGTGCGGTAATGATATATATTGCGTTTTTCCCCCTCTGTTTATATGTCAAAATGACATGCTTTTAAATATCCTCATGTGGCAAATATATGCCACTTGAGGCATATAGGCCTCCTCTTCCGCCCACTTCATGCTTGTAGTCACTACCATTCTGTTGCCCCAATGTAATCAGGGTGCACATCTTAGTGACGTCATGTGTTATCGCGATATCGCAGTAATGCAATATAGCCAAAAACTCTATCATTACCCAATTTTATGTCGTTTCTACCTTATATCGTTTATATTGCCAACCCCTACATAACACCATTACATTGTTAGCAGCAGAAATTAAATGTTATTACCATTTCCAATACAAATGCATGTTAATGAAATGCATTATATTTTACTGGATATATTTATGTGTTATTTTGACTAAGATGAGTGTTACTAATACAATCCTAAAATGTAACTGAAATGTCAAAATATTTTAACTATAAATATCAGATGGGAAGAAGGGAACTAAATACCAATCTAATGCATTTTATTGAGGCTTTTATAATAGGAGTCTGTTATTTCAGCCTGATAATTTTGTTTTTTTATTTCATATTTTTAGCAGCAAACCAGTTTTGTTTCACTTGAAACGTTGTCAAATGAAATATTCAATTAATCAACAGAAGCTTAGATTAGAACACTTTTAACGAAAAAATATTTTGCCTTTAAAAAAGTGAGCCAGTTCAATACAGAGAGTATGCATGTGCTGGCACATGGTCAGGATGGTACCACCTATGCCTCAATTTGAGCCAGGAAAAACCCTGATATTGTATACATAACATACAGTAGTGTGCATTTCTATCAAGAGGTTTCTTGTTGTCTGTTTTTGTCTATAAACATATCTCCCATTTTCCCAGAATGCACTTTAGTCAATGTCAGACACTATCCTTATTATGGCTTTTCAAAAACGAAAGAAGGTGGAGATGCTATGGCCTTATTTTCTATGGCCTACACATCATTTACCATCTGACATGAAATTTAGGGCTGAAACAAATATTCCATTGAATCAATAAAACAAAGCTCAATTTTGAGGTTTTCCTGTTTTTCTTGTTATTGAAATAATGAACAATGTTAGCTGGTAAATTAAACATCTTCTCTCTCTGTCATAAGAGCTGGTTTGAATGGACAACTTGGTCTGGGCAAATCCATCCTGCTCATCTAAAAATGCAGCAGAGTAGCTTAAATATGTGGAACGTTCTAATCAATACAGTGTCTCGCAGGAATGAATGCCTTACTAGTCAAATGTGAATTACGGGGGATGTAATTAGGGCTGCCACGATTAGTAGTCTCGTCATGACGACGTCGACAATCAAAATAGTCGACTATTAATTCAATAGTCGACGCGTCATTTATTTTAAAAACATTTTTTAATCTTGCATGCTGCGGCACGCTTGTCGGTTGCTTCCTGCCTTTCTGCTAAACCGCCGTTTTAGCTCTGAGGCACATGCGCAGTAGTGGCCATCCAGATCAGCCTTCAAAACCGGAGAAAGAAAACACGGCGAGTAGACAACATAGCTCAAAAGTATGGGAGCATTATACAAAGACAAATAAAGGCCCGTAGAGTGCAAACTCTGCAAAGTGAAACTCTCCTTTCAATGGGAGCACATTGGCGCTGAATGAGCACCTTAAAAGGAAGCACGTCATGGCGTAAAACAAAGTCACCTCGGTAAGTTTACCTCTTGTTAGCTGCTAACATCAACAGACGGCTACTTATATTCAAATGAGTACCAACACCAGTAGCGGTGGCGATTTTATTACCTTTAGAACATGTTTGTACGTCACGTACTTTTGCTCTAATTACAAACGCTAATGATTTCTTTGAGCTTCGGACGGCAGGCGTTGGGACTCTGGTCAGGAATTATCCTGACATTTGAAAATCTCGCCCTGTATTGGATAAGAGCAACACGACTCTACTACTGTTGCTAATTGCTAATGCTAACAGTTAGCTTCTACTAGAGGCATTCTCTGCGGATTCCTGGACACTAAACCAACAACAGCCTTCCCCTTCATGAGATGGGTGACGTAGATCTGTCAGACTTTTAGAATCGTTGCACCTATCATCTATCAGAAGCTAACGCAGGAGATGGTTTAGGAGACTATTTCCCTGTTCAGCCTACATGAAAAACTCAGAGTGACCGACTATAATCAGAAATAAGATTTTAATGTGTTTTTTTAAATACAGTTGAATTCAATACATTCTGCTATAGAAATATGGTTATTAACTTGTTTCTACAGCTAGTACTACTCAGTTACATTTTGACCACATTTTCAAAGCAAAGGAAAAATAATGGCTTATCTAATTATTTGATTAATCAATTGATTATTGTGGCAGACTAATCGATTATTAATGTCATCGAAAGCTGCAACCCTAATGGAATGCTTTATACATTTGTAAACAAGAATAAACACCAAACCTTTCAATCCACAACATAGATAGTTGTCTTTAAATCCACATAATATACTATATAATCACTAATTATTTTATAATGATGTTATAGCATAAGTACAAACCCAAATCATTTAAACTGCTCTGAGTACAAGACAAAAGCTCCCAAGTATCTTTCTTTCTGTTGATTGGTTTAAAATAAATACAATTTAGCTAATTGAACCCATTGTGTAAAGTGTAGAACTGTAATCTGAGATTATATCCTGAAACAGACTACAAAATACTAGTTTAGACCTAAATGTGGTACTGTCATACTACATGGGGCAGCACAACCCATAGAGTAGAGCACAAGGTTAGGCCTTACTAGTCTTGTAAAAAAATGTCCTCTAATTAAATGACTCACTCCAGCAGGCCCAACAACAAGAACCAACAAAAAGAGAAGTGTCCCACTTTATTTATGTCACAAAGCCCCAAACAAGACATGTGTTTGACCAGGATCCACCATTTTGTGACATTTGAGGCGTCATTAAAATTTATTTGCACCAGAGGTGTAAAAATGTCTATGCTAGACTTTTGCTGTTCCAAAAAGGAAACATGTGTGTTGAGTGACACGTTAAAAAAAAACATTTCATTTTCAGTTTTTCTTTCAGTCATTCTACACTGGACCCCCTGGGGTCCCCGGTACTCAGTTTGGGAAACACTTCACTCGTGGAATCTGCAGCTTTAACTGTCCTGCTGATGTTTAAACGCAACATAATGTTCCAGAACACTTCATGGGTCATTATTAGTACAGTCAGACAAGTGTTTATTATATTTAACAGTGAATAAACGCTATTGTCCCCGAGGCAACAACTGTCTTACAGCTAAACGGATGCAGCAGAGCTGAACCCGAATCAAATGTAGCTTTCAGGGAGCAAACGGAGCTAACTTGGGTTTGTGCAATGAGCTAATGTGAGTGTAACCTTAGGTAGCTGGCACAGTAAAACAATGAGCTCAGAGTGCAGTCAGTCAGCCTTGGCTAGCAGCTTGCTTGCTGCTGCATGCTGTGTTGGCTAAATGGTGTAAAGCTACACGCAAGGCAGGCTAACATTAAACGGCTAACGAGTCGTAGCACTGTTAACAATGACAGAAATTATAAAAGGGACAAACTTACCGACTTAGCTTAACAACTGTATTCCAAACCGTCGTCTGTCCATGGCGGCGTGAGCCCCATAAAATAACAAATCAGTGTAACGCGGTTCAATTATGATAAAACCTCTAAAAAATCTGAAGCACTAGAAAACAGCGCACTCCCCCAGACATCCAACACAAGAGAGGAGGGGAGGCCAGCGATTCACTGGACTTCTGCCATCACACTTCGAGACACCGTCCACAGCGAAAACAAACGAGTCCCAAACGCATAGTTACCACTGCGCTCCGAAACCCGAGCCAAGTCCGCTTTTCTCTCGCAACCTTTCTGATGTTAATTCCACAACGAGCAGCTTTCCATCCAGGTTAATTCCTCCGTATTCGCCGTTTCTGTTGGGAGCACCGTACCGCTTCTTCATGTGGGAACTGATACATTGTAGTCAAGCAGCAGCAGCAACCAAGGTGGAAAGGAAATCCAGGACTGGAGGCTTCCTACCGGATCGAACTTCCCAGCTCTGGAGCGGAAAAAGTGGAACTGGATCCATCTCCCTGTTTGGACTGGGGTCTGACGTATGCTTTTCAACCACCAGGCAAATCCACCATCTCAACTCCACCAAATTATTAAATAGAAGTGAGCAATCCCATTTACAGTTAAATACAAATTTTATCACTATTTACATATTTTTAACCACTTATAGGGCTTGGGATTGTGTCGTCATCACCAATGTGGCAACCCTGTTCACAGCCTCCAAGTCCTTACTTGATGCTTGTTACTACAGACAACAGCACATCTTTAATGCACGCCAAAGTGATCAGGCTTCCCGTGTGTCACATCTAAAATGGTCCTGGTGGAAACAAGAGTTTGAAAGTTCTATGGTCTACCCAATCCAATCCAATCCAATTTTATTTATAAAGCGCATTCAACATGGCATTACAACCAAACAAGGCGCTGTACACCAAAAATGTTAGTGCATTTAAACCGCGTTATACAATCATGTCGGACGAACACAGGTAAAAGATTAAAAAAAAAGAAATACAACAAAATCCCCAAAACTAACAGCTAAAAATCAATAAGACACAGGGAGATTAAAAATTAGAGAACCATTTTAAGAAGAACCTCAATAGTACAGAAGTTGATATTGTGAATTCCATTTTTTAAACAATGTTGATCTAAGTGAGGTTCATAATTATGTGGTATATGCCAGGTCGAAGTAGTGAGTTTTCAAGCGTGATTTAAAAATGCTAGCTGTTGGTGCTTGCCTCACTAGCAGTGGTAATGCGTTCCACAGCTTCGGTGCACAGACAGAGAAAGCCCTTTCTCCACGGCTTTTTAAACGTGCATTCGGAACAGCTAGGAGGAGCTTATCTTCGGACCTGAGAGCACGCGGCGGGTTGTAGAAATGGAGAAGTTCACACAGATATGGAGGAGCTTGATGGTTCAAGGATTTGTAAGTCAGAAGCATAATTTTGAAATCTATCCTGTACTGCACGGGCAACCAGTGGAGAGATTTCAGAATTGGAGAAATGTGTTGTCTTCTGTCAGCTCCAGTCAGCAACCTAGCTGCTGAATTCTGGACCAGCTGAAGTCTAGAAAGAGCTGCTTTACTGATGCCATATAAGCAGGAGTTAGAGTAATCCAGCCTTGAAGTGATGAAAGTGTGGACCACAGCTTTCAGAAGACGGACACTCAGGATGTGCTTTAGTTTCGAGATGCGTCTTAGTTGGTAAAAACATGATTTAACTGTGTTATTTATTAACCTGGGTATCCATCTTCAGAGCCTGGTCCATTTTTACTCCAAGGTTGGAGATTACAGAGGATACATTAGGTGAGAGATAGCTGAGGTCAGGTTGATGAGTAGCCGTGGTCCTGTTAGGACTGAAAACGATTAAGTCCGTTTTGGAGTCATTGAGATGGAGGAAGTTATCAGCTAGCCATTGCTTGACCTCAAGGATACAATCAGACAGAACTTTTGTTGATTGAGTTGGCTTAAATGAAAAGTAGATTTGACAGTCGTCAGCGTAAAGATGGTATGAGACAGCGTGCCTTCTGAAAATGGCTCCTAAGGGCAGTATATAAAGGTTAAACAGTAACGGGCCGAGTATTGAACCTTGTGGGACACCCCAACGTAAAGGCTGTGACTCAGATGAACAGCCATCCAACATGACCCTAGCAGACCTGTTCCAAAAGTATGACCTAAACCATTCTAGGGCTGTGCCTGAAATGCCAGCCCAAGTGTGAAGTCTTGTGATCAAAATGTCATGATCGATCGTGTCGAATGCTGCGGATAGATCCAAAAGTACCAGAACCACATGGAAGCCTGAATCTAAAGCCAGAAAAATGTCATCTAAGACATCTAATTCAGTGGTACTCAATAGGCGGCCCGCGAGCCCCGTCTTTGTGCCTCCCGGACCACCAGCAATCTTGGCGTGACTCCTCAGACTTTGATGGTCCCTCAGTTAATTCCATTGGAAGAATGCAATGCCAAAGCTAGTTTTCTGGCGTTGTTTCCGGATGTGCTTGGGGTCCTGCGTCTGCCGATGACATAATCTTACTACGGCAATACCACTCGGCTAAAATATATTTTTGATTCTGTTCTTTCATGTAGGTTTTGGAAAGAGTTTAGCATTTTAGTTTTTACGTTCATGTTTTTTACTGCCTAAATATTTTTGAACGTGGTAACGTAACTTCCGTAAGTCCAGCCAATCACCTAGTGTGATGTCATTGACATGCACAGGACCCCGAGCCAGCCAGAAGGAAACATGGTGGTGGTGTTCCGCAAATACGCTAGACCCACTCCCTCTGTACTTTAGACCAGAGGCGTTTTATTGGATTTATGGTACTAAGCTGCCAATAATTTTCAAAAACTGGGCATCATTTTATTCATTTTTAACAATGTTTCAATGGATATTTTCAGAGATTAACTGTAAAAACTACACATTGTCTCTTTAACAAGGCTGCTTAGAAACTGATTTAAGATGTCAACAATAAAACAGTCTGTTATTTTATTCTAACTAGCTTTAAGAACAAGAACTAGAAGAAAATACACAGCTTGGAGAAGCTTTGACCACACAAAGAAAACCAAAGCGGAGGTAAAAATGAAAATTTTCATGTTGAGAGCAAACTGGACACATTGACTTTTCAACTGCATGAGCCGCGTTTTAATTTTAGTGAAGTGAATCTATTAACAAACAGCCAAAGGGCAATTTCTCAGAGAGCAACGAGTCATAAAAAAACAATTCCAACAATAAGACCCTTCCAGATATGTCACAGCTCTAACTCTCACAGCTCTGCAGATAACCTTTTATGTTTACCAGCTTCAAACGCTGCAAAAGCCTTTAATTCGTTGTCTCGCTCTGCACTGGTTTCCCTGGCAACAAGAATATGATAATGTTGCCTTTGACATGACAGAAGGAATCATCTTGCTAACAAACAGAGACAACAGGCACAGGGAGGGCTCGGGGAGAAGCAGGGGTGGGGGCTGAATTAATGGACTCATTTTCACACAGAGGGAAAAGCAGCAGCGGCGGCTACCCACCATCCTCCATCTTCCTCTATTGCCTCCAATGCATTCCTGCTGGCAGGCACACTCTGGCTTTCCCAGGGGAACAGCCAGCCTCCATTGGAAAGCTAAATAACAGTCAGCAACCAGTGGGGACTGGAGGGGACAGAAATCTGATGATGGCTGTCCTTCAAGGCTGCGGCTCCAAACCAAGCATGAGCGTCGTACCATCTAAAACCTGAAATGAACAAGCTCTGTGGATGCCATGTGTTTTCCATCAGTGAAAAAGGCCTAATCAGCCAGCCATGTGGAATCACAGAAGGGCTGGCTTGATTCATGTAATCATCTTTCCATTACTCTGTAAAAGAAACTGTAAAACCTTGAAGCCCATCTAAAAGAGACTTAATCTTTAGCGCTTTTGAAAAAGGGTCAAGTAACGCTCTCCTGGCAAGTTTAAAAAAGGCAGAAAACATGCCCTTTCCTTGACTCACACAGAAACATTTTAATCATGAGATGATGTTTGTCCTGCCATTTACTCACATATTCTAAATGGAAATGTTCAGTAAATATTTGATAAATTCATATGAGGTTGAACTGTTTTTTTGGAAATGAACCATTGTCCCAAGAGAGTAAAGCATTATTTTTCCTGTGTTGAAACTCCTGATACAAACTGAATCATTTCAACATTTCTCAGCAAAGACTCTTGCAAATGTAAAAAAAAAAATAATAAAAAACCTTTATGAACCAGAAGCTCACATTAGGAGGTTGGAGGAGCGATGATAAAAGTCTCCTGACAAGAAAGCATGACAAATGTTTTAGTTGCTTTATCGATGGGACATTGCATTTCTAAGCTAAATACATGAGCACATTTGGTTTGTCATTAAGACTTTCTGTTTTTTACTTGAAGAATCTGTTTGTTTTTATGCTGACAGCCACCATGCAACCTTCTAAAAATAATGATATCACAGCCCCACCCCTGACCTAACTGACAACATGTTGCAATGCTGACAGTTAAGATTTGCTCATTGTTTAGTCATCGTGTTGGCTTTTTGCCCATGCTCCACCCCCTTTTCCTTGCATAGGGCGCCAAAGTCCCGCCTATCTACTTCCGGACCACGGGTCCCTGAAATAACATGCAAGTCAAAAGGGATAAAAAAGCTGTTTTCTAATCCTCTTTTTATGTATCAATTTCACATATGATGTCCGTGAATTTTAAAGATGCATTTTGATACCAAGAACGCGCTTATTTTCGAATGGGGGGAAACGATATTTTAGGTTTTGTGTGAAGATAAGTTAAGTACTACAAATGCGCTTCACAAAAGTGACATCATCAACCCAGACACTGAGAGAAGCAGAGGGAAAATGGTTGTAAGTTCTGCAAACTTCAAATCCTTCCTTCAGGAGGAAAGAACCACCATAAATATGGCCATGTGGTAAGTAGCAGCTACACTAGGGGAGAGGAGATATGTGGTGATGTCAGGATCTGGGGTGAGTGCTGCACTATTCTGTTCACCTTGCCTCAGTCTCTGCAGGTGGGTGGTTCTGGAGAGCGGCCAGCTGCAGTTAATTCCTAATCAACCGGTCCAGGATATAAGGAGCTGGGAGATCACCTCACTTCGCTGGATGATTACTCACTTTGGGTAGCTCTTGCCATTATAGAGATAACTATAGCGTTAGTCCTTCGCCTTGTGCTCACTATCCGTCGTTGTTGTTTTGAATGTACTCCGCCTTGTCCTCACCAGGAACTCTCACCACTGGCCAATTCTGCAATAGACCGGATTTCACCTTCGAGCCTGATCTCCATCCACGACTGGACCGACACGCTCTCCCGCCGCTCACCTCCCTTGGAATCCGGATTCCTACCTCTGCAGCTCACCCCAGTCCTGACTTCCCCCTCAATATCTTGGATCTCAATCCTACCGTAAGAACTACAGAAACCAATACCTCCTAGCATTCTACTCTGCCCTATCGTGAC